AATTGATTATACAGCGACTGAGGACAGCGCTCACTTTGGGATCAAGCTTGCTTTGATACCAGCTTCTAACAATCACTGACAATCTGGAGAATGGCCCTGCATGAGTTACTTCTATATTATCGGTCCTTTTTTCTATTTTATGTCAAATCTTCTTTGCAACTCTTCTGATATGTTAGATAAGTCTTGTAAGAGGCGATTCATCTAGATTACATTATACGAGCAACGACTAAGCTTCGCCATCATTGTGCTCATGTCGAATGTTCCATGCAGTATTCAAACGCGCACTAAATTCAGAATTTTCTAACGCAGTGGATTTTTTGCTTAAAAATATAGGTTTTTTTCAATCATTCCCGTTTATCAAAAACCGCTACAAGCAGCTTTTCTGCAGATTAGTGAAATTCGTCCCAATGATACGGATGGCATTTGACATCTTTTGAGAAGCGTACAAAAAACTGTATGTACTATTTTATTTCCGTACTTTTCCTATCGTACCTCTTCTAGAATGGTTCTAACAGGAAGATTTTATCACGCCATCACTTATGGTGACAAATGATCTATGCAGTGGGTTTGCTCATTGGAATCCACAACACTGGGTTTTCTTTATTATGACGTTTAGCCTTCTTCTAATCCTCTTTCTTGGCTCAAATTTCTACGTACAAGTATGAACGTGTGTGCGTAATTTTTAGCAAGAAGGTATGTGTAACGATTCTTCACTGTTTATGCAAATCGCTTTTGAGTCAGTGATAATATATGCACTTTAGCGCTATTTTTCATCAAGAGCGCACTGCAGAAATTTAGATTTTTGGTAAGTATTTCTCCTCGTCCAGGTTTGCTCTAGGCATGCGCGTATTAGGCTAAGCAACAGAAGCATGTGTGCGCAAACTGGTCGCTGACATACAATGAACATAAATACACTCGGCACTTGCCAGATGGACGATGTACCGACCTCGAATTTGAAACAGGCGCGAAATAGCGCACCCCGCATCAAGACACTTCCCGTCTCGCTCTCGTCTCATGAATCCCTTAGTCTAGATTGAGAAGTCACGTATAAGGAAAATATTGTGGAGCATTCGTTTAGTGTTATTCACATTTCAGTGAAATATAGTGTCTATGTAAGTGCAAAGTAGAAAGATGTGGTCTGTAGCCCGTCAAGTTGCATCCTACTTACCGGCAGCTATGTTCCATCAACGCAGTCACGAAAGTCATGTAATTGTTAAGACTTGTCTCTTTTTTCTAATCAGCCTCATAAATAACAGTACTGATGCCCACTGAATGCGTTCACATTGCAGAAATACTGTAAACCGGACTTGTTCCCTCTGTCGTCCTCTCGAAAGAGTAGGTGAGCATGTGTTTTCAGCATTGCCTCTGTGCCTAGCATCGATCCGCCGCGCCCCCGTCTCTCTGGCTTCCCTCATTCAACGCGACTCATTGTCCATTTCCATTATTCGTCCCAGCAACATATCGTTTATTATTGTGCTTGAATAAGCAAAATTTCGGATGTGAGATTCAGCCGGGTGGTTGGTTGTATCCATGGAGATCCAGCCCTAGATGGCTAGTTTAACACTTGTCAGTACAGCTCTCTGCATGTAGCCCACAAGCGCCATTCAATGCATCCTCTCCAGAGAGGCAGAGGTTTCAAATTTGCTAGCATATTAGTATTCACTTCCAGCATTGCTTTGGTGAGAATAACCATCCTTTTTTAAATAATATTTTTTCCTTTCATTGCTGATGGCTGCCAGCTAAAGAAGTGATAATCACCGATATCCATAAGTTTCATTCTTCTGGCACAGCTGCTCCAATACAAGCACTTCCAGTCTCTAGGGCGATTTTTTTCACGTTTAATTAATGACTCTAATCGATGCACAATAACACCAACAACAAAATATTAGATATTGTTGCAAAGTCTGCAGCTATCCATGAACAAGTTCTTGCACTATCTGCAGAGAAAACGAATCTTCCTGCTAAACCTTCCCGTTTGTGGGAATCGATCGCTATTCCAACGCATGATGGCATGAGAACTAGCAAGCTGAGCTATACGATGTGAACTGACCCATTCCTTGCTACATGCGTTTGAGCTTCTTGGATGATCCGCTCCACTTCCAATAAGGATTTTAAAATTACTCTTTTCAAAAGAAGAGCATTCCAATTCAGCTTTCTTGCTTTACTAATTCTTTGACCAGCATGGACGTGACACTGCAGCTGTCAAAACGCGTATTTCAATTATTTTTCGATATGTTCGCGGTTTTTAGAAAGAAGCCAGGTCAGTAAAAGAACGTTCTCATCGGTCCTATTTTTTAAATAATAAGGCGCTCAAATATTTTGGGCTTTCCGCAATATTGTTATGAATCCGTAGTTTACTGCTATTATCTCCTTTGTTTGCCTAAGTAATTGCAGCGCATTGCGTCAAATTGGATT